TGATCTCTGATGAGTAAGCTTGAAATGGTGAGTTGCAATGACTGTCAGTCCTACTATTTAGCAGCATCAGTAGCTTTAGGAAATGAATGCTTAGCAATAAAATGGAGCAAACCACACTAGCTCTGTAAGAAAGGCTGAGTTTTGCACCAATGGGGTAATTTTTCGCCACTTGATCTGCAACCTTCCTTCTGTGTTTGCACACATTTTTTTGAACAAAATGGAGCAATGTGATTCCAAGGAAGCCAGGTTGCATAATTATGTTGACCGCTTCCCAGAAACAAGGTGATTTTAGCTGCATCCATGTCACTAGGAACTGACGAAACTTCAAGTCTGTCACGCATTAATAGAAAATAGAGCCTGATTTTATTTTTTTTTTAAATCAAGAAGGCAAAACAAAAATATGCTTTTGCAAAAAATATGAAGCGAACCAAGTCCAACAAGACAGAGCTATTATCCTTTAGGTATATCAGTAATCCTACGAAGAAATTAAAGAAATTTAGGAACTGAGGTAACGAGCGTCAAGGAACAGCCGTGTACAGCAATGTAAGAGAGTGTTGGACTCTTTGTTCCAATTTCAATAAAAATAATAATAAAAAAAAAAAAAAGCATGAACACCATGGTGCAGTATCGGGCCTAGTTCATGTGCTTGGTTCGATTCAACCATCATAACTACGGACAACTAAGTTTGAGTAAGGCCAATGATTAATAGATGCAAATCAAGACAAAGTTTTGATCTTCCATTAGAATGCATGTGCATGCATGCATGTCTTGTGCTGCATCTCCCTGCAATTATCTAAGGAGAAGGAGAGTTGAAGGAAAACTGAGATTAAACAGACGTACTTGTTGCAGTCAATGATATGAACACGTCTTGCAAAACATGGTTAGCGTCCCTTCAGCTTTGTTTATGAGAAATGAATTCTATAGTCTGAGAGCGGCACTTATAGTGGAAAGAGCAGATGATTAAATTAAAGATTCGTGGAGCACAAGAATAAACCTGCAAAGTCAACAACAGGAAATTTTAATTATAAATGTGTGTTTTTTTCCTGTAATGAAGGTGGGATATGACGTTGTGGTTTGATGATAATGGTTCTTTGGCTGGTTCGGTGAGCTGGTGCTGCTGTTTTCTAGTGATTTTATACCGTAGAAAGCAAGTAAGAGAAGCATCTAGGAAACTCGGTGATGGAGATGGGGTATTCTCTAACAAAGAAGTTTTAAAGGCGCGGAGAGAGCATCTCAACTTTAAAATCCAACCACGCCCCCCACCACATGTTGCTGGGATAAGATTGGAATTACCTCAATTCTAGACTTAATTTTTTTCATGGAGACTTGAGAATCCCTCGGAAATCCCTTGCTTGTCAATCTTAATCATACTTTGATGGTTCAGTTGACATTTTAGAACGTTGATCATAATGTGGGCGAACACCTCAACTATGCTAATAGTTAATTAATGTCGGATAAGCCAATTGATTAAGTTTTAAAAAATCAAAAAAAATTAAAAATTGATTTAAATTTATAATATTTGGTTTTGTTTTAATAGTTTTTTTATTCGATTAAATTTATTTAAATATTAAATATTATTGTTAGATTCAGATTAAATTTTAGAATGAAAAATAAAAAAACTAAAAATATTCAAATAAAATTGAATTATATATTTTTATTAATTTTTTAAATTTTTATAAAATAAAAATAATTATTTTATATCTAAATTTATTCGGAATCTTTTACTTTCTTATTATTTGCGCTTTCTATTTTTACTTTTTTTTTTTCCTTTTACGCTTCTCATCTCTTGCTTTTTATTAACTTAAACGTCCAAACGTGTCTCAAAATTTTTCCAACAACGCTGCCTCACCCTTCTCTTTTTAAGTCACTCTGGCTTTCAAATCAAATCACCGAACCAATTTCCCAACAACGTTAGGTGGCTTCTAAGTTTATTTTGACTCAAATTAGTCTGCCCAAATTGTCCTGCAGTGTACCAATTAAGTTTCTGAATTATTTCACCTTCAATATATTATTTCTTTCTGCATGTGCATGTAGCACTATATAATATGTCAATATCTTTAACTATTTCAAGTGAAGTTTTTATTTTTAATAATTAAAATAAATAAATAAATTTTAAAGTGAAATATAGTGTAAAGTAATAATCAACTTTGGTTAAATTATATAACAGATATATGTACTTTAATTAAATGGTAGAATTTATCATTTTATCTTCATTTGTTTGAATTAGATCCTTATTCTTTGTTTAATTATTGAATTTAATCAAATTATTAATAATTTAAACTTTTTTTATTAAAATTAATGACGTAATATTTTAATTTTTTTAACGTAGCATTTTTGTTTACATGACTTTTGACTTTACAAACATGTAAAATCCATATAGTCAAAGATGACGATGTAACAAAATTTTTTAATACATCATCATTTTTCTATGTCAATTTTTCTCAAATTATATAACTTATTTTTATATTTTGGTTAAATGGTAGAATTAATCATTCTACTTTAATATGTATTTAAATTTGATCTCTGTATATTAATTAATTATTGAATTTAATATTTGATTTAAAATAAATAAAATAAAACTAAAATAAAAGATAAAAGAAATTTCAATAAAAATAGATCGAGTCATAAACATAATCAATATATCAGTTAACACCCGAGTTTCACTAGACCTATTTTCTAAAACGGTACCATTTCAACTTGTTATAAAAACAAAAAAAAAATAAATCATTTTTTTAATTTTCTTTTTTCTCCTCTCTCATCCTTATTTTCCTTTTACATTTTTTTACAAGTTTTATCCAAAGAACTCATATTTCAATCAAATTTAAGATTTGACCTAAAATAAATAAAATAAAACTAAAATAAAAAACAAAAAACTTTTCAATACAAATAGGTTGAGTCATAAACAAAACTAATATATGAGTTAATATTTGAGTTGTATTAGACTTGTTTTTTTAAATGGTACCGTTTCAACTTGTTATAAAAACAAAAAAAAAATCATTTTTTTTAATTTTTCTTTTTTCTCCTCTATCATCCTTGTTTTCCTTTTACTTTGTTTTACAAGTTTTATTCAATGAACTCATATTTCAATAAAATTTCTAAAACTAGTTATTGAAAAATTCAATGTTTATAGAAAAAATTTATCCTAAAAATCATCAATACCCAAAAATCGATTACTATCGAATTCTTAAAATTTTTCCCAATCAATCTTTCCAAAAATGTTTTATATTTTCCTTATTTTTTCAATTTTCTTTTTTTTTTTTTTTGCTTTGTTTTTACTTTAACTTTTTTACTTTCACTAACTAAACAATAAATAATAAATAAAATACTTTTACGCCTTTAAATTTATACTTAAAATCTAATTTCATAATTAAACCCAATTTTTATCCAAAAATAATTTTAAAATCCAATATCGAGATAAAATTCAAAACCCATTGAATATTGAAAAAAATTTCAAAAAATATAGAATGTCTACAATTGCTTTTATTGTTGATTGTATATCTTGGTTTATTAATTATGAGCTTTTTAATCTAACTTTTACATTTCTATCATTTTAAAAAATTTTATTGTTATCTATTTTTTATATTTCAAAATATTAAAAATAGAAATTAACAAAAAATAAATAAATAAAGAAAAGATATAATTTAATTTATGTTGGATTTATAATCTAATTTGAGATTGACACAATTTATCAAATTAAGTTCAACTAATAATTCAAATAACCAAAAAAATTATCTAAATATGAAAAATATGTCACGGTTGAAGTAAGAATTTATGTTTTTAATTTATTAATTTAGGTTAAATTTTAAAATCGATAATTAATTAATGTATAGAAATCAAGTTTAAAAGCACATTAAAGTAAAAGAACTAATTCCACCATTTAACCTAACTATAGATAAGAACAATATAATTTAAAAAAAAATTGGCATAGAAAAATGATAACGTGTTAAAAAATTTGTCACGCCATCATCTTTAACTACGTAAATTTTACAAGTCAACAAAATTAACAGTCATATAAACAAAAATATCACGTCAAAAAAGCTAAAATAACATGTCATCAATTTTAATAGAAAAAGTTTAAACTATTAACAATTTGATTAAATTCAATAATTAAATAAAATATAGGGATCCAATTTAAAAACATTGAGGTGAAGAGACTTATTCCACCGTTTAACTAATACTATGTATGGATTGAGCGAATGAATGAAGGGAAGGAAAGAAAAAAAATTCTAACAACTATTAAGATATGTATATCTGATGTATAATTTGACCATCAACTTTTAGTTATCAAATTTGCTAATTTATAAACTTTCGAGCATTCCAGCAATCAAAATTTATTTCATTTTCAATCAAATTTGCATAAGTTAAAAAAGATGAAGAGCTTTAATTCAGTAAGCTTTCTTTTTACTTTTGATCTTGAAGTTTAATTATCATTCAATTGTTCTTGACAATTTTCTGCATTTCCAATCCTTTACTTTTGCTATTTTACAGTTTCAACTAGAGGTCTTTTGATCCAATCTCAACCAGTTAACTGGCTTGGATGAAGATTACCAAAACCACACTTCAAAACTTTGTTAACTTAAAGTACAAAATTGACACACTCCATTGATCTAATATGATTGAAAATAGTTTCAACACATTCTTATTAAAGGAACAAAATAAATTAAAAAAAAAAAAAAAAGGAACTATCTCCATTAGTTGTCCCTTAAAATGGACTTTCTTTTTTGTGTCAATTCTTAGGATGGACTTAAAAACATGAATGTTGATATATGTTGTTTTGTTCTATTATTGATTCATAGCCATTTTATGGATTATTTTAATGTAAATTTTGGATTAAGGACTATAATTTTTCAATCCACAATCCATGCATTCCTCTCACATCTCTAATTCTCTAACCATCGCTCAATAAACTCCTGAAGACCACACAATGATGAGTGTATCCTAAGCACAACAAAAATGAACAAGCATAAGAATAAAAACGCCTGGGAAAATAAATTTTCGAAAATTATAGAGGAAGCAACGACAATGTCTCCAACAGAACTAATTACTATCTAGTAGCTAGATCATATAACCGGCTGTCCTGTCGATTGCCAAAGTGCATCCAGGAAGATCTGACCATCCTTTTGCCACTTTCAACAACTGTTGTGGAACTTCTTTATGTAGTCTAGTATTATTATGCATTGCCATACCTCAAATGTCATGGAATTTTCATTGAAAGCAGCAAAAATTGCTTTGGGGTGCTTCACGTACTTGTTTCTGTTGCAATATCTGTTTCTTGACTGCTTCAGATCCTTTCTCCAATAAAGCAGGTACCTCAAGAATCTGTAAACTGATAGAATGCGTTAGCATAGGTCGAAACCAGAAAGAAATAAAGTTTCCAGCTTGGACCAGAAATTATGCTCAGCAAAGATCATCATATCGAACAGCTTCTAATCAAATAATAAGAGATAACTGCAGAATAATAGCACCTAATAAAACATTAGAATATTGTTATGAGAGTTAAATAGTTGAGAAATCCCTGCATTTCTTACAAGTTTACCTTTAAAATGAGATCTTTAAAGCATTGATGCACATTTTCTCTAGTTTTAGAGCTGCATTCAAGAAAAGAACATTTATGTTCCTGTGCAAGAGCCATACCCTCTTCTCTAGTAACAGCCCTTTCACTGTCCTGAAAATGGCACATTGCTCATTCATAAGAAATCAGATACCTTACAAAGCACACAAAATTAAGTTTACAAAGTGAAGTTGTATGCATCTATTTTAAAGATTCAGATGATTGATTAAGCATATTCATCAGGGGTGTTGAAGTATATATTCAGTTACATGTACTCTGGCAGAAAAGAAACAATAATAATTTTGGAGGACTTACCCTGTCAACTTTATTTCCAACCAGAAATTTGATGCATTCATGATTGGTGGAGTAGAGCTCGACTTCCTTTGCCCAAATTTCGGACAGGTTGGTGAAGGTTTCTCGCCGTGTCACATCATAGACTTTAAACAACAAAGAAATTAGTATTCAAGTCCCCATAATTTAGCTACATAAGCAGAAATAACATCATAATAGTCTCCACAACTATTAACAATACTTCTTAAACAAGAAAGTATTGAACTATTTTGATCATATGATGATTAAAGTACTTAGAAATACTCAGAATGTATGCAGCCAAAAAAGAGGAAATGAACCCAGAATGCCACAACATGTTGTTTAGGCTGCTTTCTAGACTATGACATAGACTTTATCCTCAATATATAATATTGGTTGTATTTTGAATAAAAGATAAGAAAGCACAATTATCTTAAAAAAAGAGAAGATTTTTACAGAAAATAATAATAAGGCTATTAACTTAATTCTTCATCTACTTCTAAATGTACTAAACAGATGTTTAAATCTTCCACAAACCTCTTTGAAATTTTATAAGAAAAAATATAATGAAAATAGAAATATTTCATCAGACTAGTTAAGAAGTATTTAGATATTCCACACATTTTGTATGGTAAAGTGGGGTCAGTATTTTCTAACTCCGTGGAACAAGAATGACTATTCCACAATGAAAAACAAAATTTTCTTTTTAGACTAATATTTATTAATCAAATATGATATCTGAGTTCAAAGCTTAAATAGATGAGAAATCCAATAAGCAATAGTGACACTTGGTTAACCAAACAGTTGCATGATAAAAGCACCAGCATGCATGAGGTTAATGGTAAAATACTACATATACAAGGCTTCAAGGATCTTGGATAACGGAACTATGAGGGGAAGAACATGCACATAAGACTAAGAATAGAAGATGTGAAGTGTCATCCATTCACATATGCCATCAAGCATCAGCTTGATTATTGATGTCCATTACTTGTTAGAAAAAAAAAAAAACAATTACCATATCAAATTACAAGCTACAAAGGAAAATCCAAATTCAGCAAACTATAATTACCTACAAATATTCTGGATTAAATGTTTCATATTTGCAAGGACATACCAAGGATAATCCCATGGGCACCCCTATAGTAAGAGCTAGTTAATGTTCCAAATCTCTCCTGACCAGCTGCAATAAGTAAAAGATATTCTCAACATGAGAACTAGGTGCATAATAAATTCCCGGCTCTAGTTCCACAATAATGAAAGTTAAGATTAGCCTGTAGAAAGAAATAAACTCATACTGAACATCAGAAATGATATTGGATAGACACTTTCCTTCTAAAGTACAAGGGGCATATCCGAGTTTAGAGGCTAAGTTTCTGCTATTATTAACTCATAGTGTAGATCTGCAGTCATTGGACTCTTTATTGATGAATATTCCACATTTAAATCATCTAAATGAAAAAATCAATATTATGGAAACCATGATGTTGGAGATTTAAGTTTATATCCAAGGTGTACTAGGGTAAAAAAAAAGATCATAAACAACATAAACTTACATGCACACCTTTGCACACGCACATACATACTTGTATGCAAAAGAACAGAACATTTAATCATGCCTTTGAAGTCACCAGACAGAGAAAAATGTTTAAGAAAAAAGTTCATTTGTCCCTAAAATGCTGGAGATATGAGAATGAAGCTTCTTGCAATTGTATGCTTTTTTATTGAGTACCCAAGCATTCGTATTATACACAAGTCCACATAATTGTTATAATAGATCAACAACAATGAGCTGTCCCACCCAAAAAAAGTGATATAATACCACACAAGAAAATTAACAGTGCCTGTGATATTAGTACATCAGTAAACAAACCTTAGTTGCTCTTTGCTGCAACAGTTTGAATATATGTCAAACAGCTGGTTCCATTCTAGCATTGACATCATTTTGAATTAAAAATTTCTTTCACTTTATTATTAATGAAAATGATGCATTTATATCAATATATAAGCAGGTATACTTCCTATAAATATGATACACGACAGGTCTTGGTTGAGGCTTCTCACTAACCCATCTGCAACCCTTTCAGAAATAATTCTTGTAATATTCTTTCACTAACACCATGCAAGCAGGATCTCAGTTCATAAATATTAGCATTTACAGCTCCAATGAGAAATATAAGAGAACCCATTATTAGAAGGTACCCAGCTGTATAATATGCTACTGAGACTTCCAGCTATATGTTTCTAGTTATATAAATCCATCTTTTGCGCTGCATCTTATGAAGGGCACCCTTTCCAGTAACTGTTTGGCCAACATTTACTTTTTCTGTAACCTTAAAACCTGCTTCCTTCTGTTCCAACAATGTAGCAGCACATCCAACACAAAGCATACCATTGCCTCACATAAGCACTCATCAATGCTACCTTCACTCCCCTGGACACAAGATCAGTCCAATACCCTAGAGCAGCAGTGGCATCAGAATTATAGGCTTAACAATTATTTCATCCTTGCTTCAATATCTCAGAGTTCCTTTCAACATTTGCTGTAGTATACATTTGCTGTAGTATCTAATTTTTTTTTTCTGATCATCAGTATATTAATCCTATCCGTTCAACTTTTTTCTTAAATCGTCCTAGATGTCCTTTTTCTTGCAACTTAATAGATAAGCTTCTTTGCTCCCTAGGACCCATCAGCGCATGCAACACTTGCACATCACACCTCAGATGCAGTCGTTATATTCCTACTACATGATTCAGCAGTATATAACAACAGAAGTTTAGCCTTGATAATAATTGCACAATTACCGGGAAATATCTAAAACCCTTTTACTAGCAATTCCCCGAAGTTGTATATTGGCCCATCAGGCATTCAACTAAAATCAGATTCTAAACATCAAGTAGCATATCAGATTCCAAAGTGAATTTTTCTGCTTCCAGAAGCTCTTCGAATCATTTATTGCTAAACTTCTGAGAACTTACATATATTGCTAATTCCTCTTCTCATAATCATTTTGATTCAAAGATCAAAGTGACACATCCTTGAGATAATCAAAATATTATCAAACATCCTTCAAATTCCCGGTTGTTTCTAACAAGGATGAAAACCATTCTGACCCTTTTTCTCAATGAAGACTCCAAAGGAGTGCAGCAAAACTAATCAGTACCATGCAAAACAGGTGTGTAACTATTAACTAACAAGATGCAAAAGGTATTCAGACAATGAAATCCTATCAAGATCCATGCAGTGTATAGGTCTAAGCAAAAATTAGTTGCAAATTGTTGGCAATAGCCATCAATTACCTGTGTCCCAAATTGTAAGTTTCAATCTTTTCCCACCAATTGTGACCATCTTGATTTTGAAATCCACCCCTGGAGATATTCAAAACAACAAACAACGCTTAATAAACATCATACATAAAAGTTTAGAACACATACACTGCGGTACAACTAATTTTGAAAGCTTAATAAAAATCATACAAAAAAGCTTAATTTATGTGTTATCTTCAAATCTTATTTTGTTTAATAACAAGTTCTAAGCAAGTCATTACGAGTGCAAACCTTTGCCATAACAGGTGGATCCTATAATGACCAGGAAAGGGCTCAAGACCATAGTGCAAAATTGTTTCAAGGAAAACTAAAATAATTTTCATGCCTAGTTTTTACAGTTATCTACCCAGTTGCAATTGCCTGTACTGTTCATACGTCCACTGTTTCATTATGCTAATTGAACTAAAACAACCTAAAGCACGGAGTCAATTTCCCGAAAATTATAAGGCTAAGCTTCTTATAAGCACTGAGAAGATATCCATTTTAACTTGAATGAAACAAAATTACACTCTGAACAAAACAATTTCACCTAAGTTTATTCTTTTTTGGTTTACCTCTCAACTCCCATCCCTTCTTTCATTCCTGTTACCCTTATATCAAACTTCCTAAATACATTCAAAGGAAAAAAAAGCATTGATTCTAATTCCTTCTCTTGAATCTCTTGCCAACCCAATACATAAAAACAACCACTTTCATTCATTTCATTTCTTTTTTAAAAGGTTTAAAGATACAAAAAGAATATATATATATATATATGAATATCAAATAAAAGAAAACTCAAAGTAAATTCTGGGTGTGAATCCCAAAGCCAAAACCAAAAAGCAAGAACAAAAACATAGCAAAAAAGAGTTGAAATAAAAGAGTAGAGTAGTTACCAATGGTAGGAGAAAGATCATGAACAAAGTTGGAGATGAAAGTAACAAGTAAACTACTTTTGCCAACACCAGAATCACCAATCAAAAGTATTTTAAATGAATAATCATACTTGTTATTCCCTCCTCCCTTCGAAGAAGAAAAACCCAACATTTTTTAAAGTACAAAAAAAAAGAAAATCTTTTTTTTTAATCTTTCTCGTTTAAAGATGGGTTCTTTTTGTATTCTTCTCTGTTCATCAACAAAAAGAAACTAGAAAAAAAAAACCAAGAAAGATCAAAAAGAGGAACAAAATAAGGAAATTTCCTCAGGTGGTAGTAGACATAGACAATGGTGGGGTTGGCGGGTAGTGTTTATTAACAGTTGCCCGAAGAAAGATTGTACAGCAAAATATCAAAAATTAAAAAAAAAAATGCCTAGCCGGATTTTTGGCATTTAGTAGTTTGTCTTCATGTCACTTAACTATGCTGCTTTTACGGGAACTCTTATCAATTCTCAAGTTTCATTCCATGGAGGTTGCCTCCTTGTCACATTGCATGAACATGACGGGCATGCGGCTATCTAAGTTACATCGAAAATTTGACAAAAATCCGTTATGAATATTTTAAAGATTTAAAAAACTTAATGATTATTTAAAAATAAAGAATTTAGTTGAAATGATATTAAAGTTAAAATTAAAAAATTATGAATTTAAAAAAATTTATGCACCTAATATTGCTTTTTGTCATAGTCGTATAAGAATAAAAAAGCTCAAAATAAATTAAAAAGTTCAAAAAAAAAATAATAGGATGAACTGATTTTTAAATTTTAAATTAAAAAGTTTAGTTGAATTAATTAAATTATTAATTTAAATTAAAAAGTTGAGTCGGGTTGATTTTAAAATTTTTACAATTTGTCATATTTTTAGATTAAGGATAACAATTAAATTAAGGTAAAAATAATAAAAAAGCTTATGAACTTTATCATTTTATTTAAATAAATTTTTATATCTTTATTATACTTAAATAAATTTTTAAATTTTAATTTACATCCAAATAAAATTTTAACTTTTAATTTATATTTAAATAAATTTGTAACCTTTAATTTGTACCTAAATAAATATTTAACATAAATCAATCTATCATTTAAATTAAAAATTTATTTAGATATATTACAAATAAATAAATTTTTGTGACAATATTTTAATAACGTTTCATTAATAAACATTATTAGCTTTCGTGTTTTCACAATCATAACAACGTTTATTTAACAAACACTACTAAATTTGAGTATAACAACATTTATAAAATAAAACACTGCTAATCATTACAATTTTACGGTGTTTAAGTAGAAAAAACGCTGCTAAAATGTCCTCAAATTTTATTTAAATGAAAATATAATTTTCTCAAAACTCGTTTAAAGTCTAAACGGCAAGGTGTTAGTTATTTAGCTGTTAGTGAACGCCGCCAATTTTCCTTTTTACAAGCTCATTACGTTTGTGTAATAAACGCTACAAAATCTTCTTATAACAGCATTTATAGTATAAAATTTTCAGCATTTGCAGCAATTTAGAAGCAAAAGTTCTTCTAAATTTAGTGGCATAACATATTAAAATATACTGTTTAATAGTATTTAGTGGCGTTTGTGCCCCCAAATTAAGACTAAAATTTCGACCCCCATAACACTTCTGTTCTTTTCTCTCCCAAAGCTTATCATCAGAGCCCAGTTTAGTTTTTTTTTTTTCTTTTTTTCCTGTTTAATTTTCCTGTTCTAGCTTAAACTTTACGTTTCTTCTTTTTTTCTTTCGAATTTTGAGCACAAATTTTGAACTGAAACCCATTCGAAAGCTCAAACTTGAGACCCATTCGAATCCATCTTCTCCAGTGGACCACCGCCAACCAGCCTGTTGTTCGGAGCTAAGCGGCAACCTCCGATACCACAACCACCTTCTTCGGTTAAGCATCACTGGCCAACTCTTCCAACCCTTTCTGGTATGCTCTTCCTCAGCCCCTTTCTGGTATATAGTAATATATGGAAGTTTTCAGAAAGCTTTGGAAGTTTTCAGAAAGCTTGAGAAGTTTTCAGCTTCTACGAAATGTGTAATAAGCATATTTTCTTTCTTAACCTTCTATTTTCAATAATATGAGCATTAATATAGTGCATTCATCCTGTCATTCTAAACGTGGCGATGTTACAAAATAGGCGAGCTTTAGATAAAGCAAGAATGATTGCGATACCATTTCTCTCTCTCTCTCTCTCTCTCTCTTTAGATGGAGCTTTAGTTGTGCATTCAAAGCAAGATTTGTTAGGCCTCTATTTCACAAGGGTTTTTTTTTTTGTTTTTAATTTAAGCTCTCTCTCTCTCTCTCTCTCTGTATTTCATTAATATTATATTATTTTTATTTTTATTGATCAAAATTTTAAATTTTGGTTTTATTTTATTTAAAATATTATTAATTAAAAATACAAAATACTTTGTAAAACTTTGAATAAATAGATATTTTTAAAAAATAAATAGAAAAAATTGAAATATTAATGCTTTAATTGTAACAATTTACATTTAGACATTATTTACGGAAAAAAATTAAAATAGTAAAACCACTGGCATTATCCCACAATGGACCTTATAATTTAAAATACAATAAGAAAATGTTAATAATACATGTTAAAATTTTAACAAAAATCATGTATGAGTTTAACCAAAAAAATTATGTTTTTTGTGTTAACACAAATAAAATACATAATTTTTATATAAAATACGATATTAATATATAAATTATTTGTATTTTACACTATAAATATACAAATTTTCATATTTATCACACAGAAAATCTCAATTAAAAGATCATATGTAGTTAGGAAATGGCTTCATTACTCATTTTTCAAACAAAGCCAAGTTGTAGGAAAACGCTTAGGTTTCATTTAGATTTAAACACTACCTGGATACAATGCGGTTTAACAACTTTTTGGTGCAATTGCACCGTTTGAGGTCATTTGGTTAACAATCAATGCAATGTCCAAATACAAAGCCAATAATTTTAAATTCAAGGAAAAAGAACCAGTGAGCCACTACACTGGACCTTTTGATCATAATATCCCTAATTTTCTTCTCGCTAGTTTGCAGAACCGCGCAATGCTGCAGACTGCATAATAATAAAGTAAATATTGTTTAAACATAATATTCATTATCTTAAAACTATACCTCTATATTCTTTCTTTAATATCATTTTCCTTTTAACATCAACTCTCTATCCAACATATCACCGTCTATATTGTATTCAGCTCTGCCATCAAAAAATAATGCCCATTAGAAATTGAGCAAAAGAAGTACCAAAATTATGGTTGGGAATAATTCGCAATCTTAAATAATGATGTCTCAAACATCTGTAAGCATCTCATTATAAAAAGTTCATGAAAAACTTTCCATTCATTTTTCTTTCATGTCAAATATCTCAATGAAAGGATCTTCAGGTCCATTTCGTAATTCTACTGATTATAAACTATTTTATTTTCAAAGTAGAACAGCATTACAACAACAGACTTCAAGTCACATAACTTTTGTTTTCCCAATTTTCTAGCTATAGCTTTAAATTCTTGAAGATTTAATTCTTAACAATAATATTTTCAGTTTCATAGCTAAGCTTGATCAAAATTATAACATCTAGCTTTTTGACCAAAACTCCTATCAAAACTAAACAAAAAGTTACTTAAAATTTCATCTTTCAACTGTTTATTTGTCAATTACCAACCCTGTAACCGCTAAAGCTTTCAGAACCACATATGACATATAGAAAAGTAGAAAATCTTAGTATAACAGAAAACAGTAACTAAATCACCTTTAGACCCACATGCCAACACCCGGCGAACTCATCTATGAACATTATAAAATTAACATTTCCTTATTTCTAGTAATCCTACAACTCCATTTTCTAGCAAAATAACAGAACATTCACTTAAAATCTAGGCACGGTCTTAATGTCTATTGAGAAAATTTCTCGAGATTAAATTAGAAGTCCAGCCATGCACTGAAGCAAAACATGCATGCTTGGGCAAAAGCAAGTTTTGAATTCCAAAATTTGTTGCAACCTTGCTGTCATAACAGACCTCTAAGTATGAAACTAAATGCATTACTATAGAAAATAACAAAAAAGTCAGCATGGAAAAAAAAAAAAAACTGATAAATACCTCTATAGCAGTTTGCACAGAACTTGCCATTTCAAATTCTACAAAACCAAAACAGAACCCCTGTAGTTAAATACAAAGAAAATATTAATTAAATATACAGTCACAATTTAACACATTGAAAAATGAGTCAACATCTACCTTCTGACTTCGAACTTGAATACCACCACTCTTAATAGGTGCAAACTTCTTAAACTCATTCTCCAGCATACTAGGTGTAGCATTGAAGGGCAGACCTATGACGCATATAGAGGGACCCTCAGCTGTCCACAATCAAAAGAATTTGCAAGTAAATCATATGCACAAGCAAGTAGATACAAAAATAAATAATCATAAAAGGCAGACAAAGAATAAACTAAATGCTTAGTATTTGAAAATTTTGCAGGAATAACAAAAAAGTAGATACCTTTTATAATTTGATTATTCCCATTTTCTGTAACATTCTTGCTGGAAATCTGTGTGTCAGATGCAGGGGCTGGAGCAATAGAGGTGTAGTAGTTTTCGGTTGGTCGTAGTTCTTAACTGCAGACTTCACAGTGGAATGTGTAGGGACCTTCATTTTCACTCTCTTTTCATCACTCACTAAATGCCGCCTTTCTGCTGCCATTTTCTATTTTGGTAACCCTTTCTCTACTTCTCTGTCCATTTTCAGCCCATTCAATTCTCTCTCCCTCTTTTTTCACTCTTTTCAACCCTTTTGAAATCTTTTACTGCTAGAATAGGGACATAAATTCAAAGTTACAGAAAAATAATGGTCAAGAGCATGGGAAGAGAAATAACTTTGACTTCTTTTTTTTTTTTTGTTTCCCCGTGAATGCTATACCATCTTATATTTTTATGCAAGCAAAAACCATTTAGTTCAACCTCATGGGTTTAGTCATTGCCTAAATTCAATATTGATTCTATTTGTCACCAAATGACTGTAACAAAGTTTAGCATGAGTTCAATCGGATTTTTATTAATTACAGTTTGATGGCAATAATCATTAATCTACCAGACCTCATACCTCAAATATATTTGATCAAGCAAAGATTTAAAAGAATATTTGTTCCTAAACTTAGGTGCTACTGGTGTAATAAACCAATTATAAAACATGAGGAAATGACTCATTTCAAACTCAGCAGTGACTTAAAAGATCTCAATTCAAGACAATAACTGAAACAAAAGAATCATTCATGTCAAGCCCATTATTCTTTATTAGAAATATTCATCCTATATGTCACAGTAATATTCCATAAGCCCATATAGAATACATCATTATAAACTATACCATAACATGCTACTCACCATTTCTTTACCATTGCTTGCATGCATCCCTATCGCATAAAAACTAATAACTTTTTTAACAGCAAAACTAATTATCCAAACTGCTTTTAGAATGTATGCAAGAGATTGAATGGCTAAGCCAAGCCAACAGTTGAATCCAATTTAGAAAGACCATACAATCAACTCTCCATTTCATATAGTAGAAGGGAAACCCCCACATTCTATTGAGCAGTTTAGTGCATGAACTGAAAAATTGCAAAAACCTTTTACTGTCGCAAGGCCGCATGAAATTCTCAGTGATATATTTCAGAGTCAATCTTACAACATAAATTCAAGAAAGAGAACCCAGTAAAAAAATCAACATTAAGTTAGAATAACAAAAATGGATTATAACCTATTGCTTTTTTTTTCTGCTTTAAGCAAATATGCCAACACCTGCACGCTAAATAGGATTCCACCAAATCCACAACTTTAATATGAATATGTTAATCAAGTTATATTCACTGTTTGTATGTAAGCATTACCATACATGTTGGAACATATTCAAAATTTACGATGAATTATAACAACCCACCAAATTCCCATAACTTTTAATATAATATGCAATCAACATATCCACAACTTTCATTTTTGAACTTGCTACCAGTGTGTAAGACAATAAACTTTTTTTGAATATGTTGGAACACTGAGATCAAATAGAAGTTAGAGCCTAACACCATCATTTATGAGTTTTTCTTCACAATAGGGATGAAGATAAAAGCAGTACCTTCATATCCCTATGAAGAACACGGTTTGAGTGTAGGTAGTCCATAGCCAACAACAATTGAGTCATCCATTTGCAGATTTTCTAGGGAACCAGATTGAATACCATCTGTAGCATTTGCATATAAGTAGTTCAATTGCAGGAATATTGTATTACCTCCTCAGGAAAGTGCATACATTTGGCCTTCTTAATAAGCTCAGCCCTGATTCCAACAAAAAATGTAAGATCCCCAATTAGTCTTTCATAAGCATCAGACAGAATCTGCTATCTTTTTTTCATCCCGAATCGCTATTTTGTTACATTGTAATCAAATAAAAGCAGACAATCAATAAAACATACAATATAGCTAACTATAAAATCCCACTCATCAACTTTACTGGAGAGAAATTATTCTTTTCATCATCGACTGTTTCTGTTGAAAGATTAAAAAGTTGAAAATAAGATATATTCAGTTTTTTAATCACTTCTTAACCAATCTGGCAAGTTAAATCTTATATTCCTCAATTACCCTTTTAGTTTTTTTTTTTTAAATACATTAATGATGTGTCCAGTAAATTAGAAAGTGGGAAGTCAGGGGATTAAAAAACTAAATCTTAAAGAAAATGAGGAAGAAGAAAATATACCGAAATGAGAGTACGAATCAAAGTAACAATCAGCACAGGCTTTATCATCATCGCCGTCGCAATCAACAAAAGAGACTTCAGATTCTCCCATGGAGACATCTTCGATAGCTTTATCAACGGCGACAATTGAATCGTCGAGTTTCGAGCTATCGGTGGCAACTTCCTCATCATTGGCGTCTTGGAAACAAACCTTGGTTGCTTCGAATTTGTTCGAAGAGCTTCTTGTGGTTTGTACTTTCCAAGGTTTGGTGCATGCAAGTTCAAAAGCATCTGGATGAACAAAGAAAAAATTAAATGACAACTCACCTGATCCTCCTCTTTCTCGTCCTTCTTTTTGGGGTCCTTGGCCGGAGCCTTCGTCTGAGAAGTTTCGACGTCGTTTTCGAATCTGACATTAGCTTTACTTGGTAGTGAGAGGGATACGAAGAAGGGAATAGGAAAAAGAAATCTCTTTTCAAAGAACTAAGAGGCTTTTGGAGAAGTTAAAAGACAAAAATGACCCCCCACTGATTTGATTTACATTGCCCCGCTGTCCCATTAAAGCGAATTGAGACAGCTTTTATATATTCCTTAAATTTTTTTATTTTTATTTTGTAATGATATTTAAATTAGTTTATTTTATAATTTATAAGTTTAGTATATTTTATTAAATAAATACAAGAAATAATTGTGTTAAGTTTTAATTTGTATAAATATATTATTATCAAATTTTTAATAAAACTATCATGTAACATAAAATAATTTTAGTAATTTTTAACTATTTATTAACTTCATAAATGACAAGTAATTTAAATTTTTTATTATACACAAATTTTAATTTGTTGTCCATAATAATCATTTTCTTTTCTTATTATAATTCACTTTAGCAACATTGTTTCATTTGTATCCAAACATATATTTTACTACTAATTTTAATTTTATTGTTATAATAATTAATCTCACTAATATTTTTATTTTCAATCTTCATCAAAATTAGTTTCATTATTTATCCAAGTAGATCCTTAGGCTACATTGTCTATTGAAATAGATCCTTAGGCTATTAATAAGTACAACACTACTAACCATTTCATTAAAGATTTTAACTTGGTTAACAATCAAACATTTTGCATAAATAGCTATTTATATCTTTTTTTATTATTTTTTTGAAAAAAAATCTTTATTCCAAATATCGACAATCCTCACAATTAGAGGTTGCCTAAGAGGCATAAAAATAATTATGTTCGATGAAAAATTGGAACTTCAAGTCAAGATAACCCAAATCAAACCTTAAAAAAAATTTTATTAGGCTAAATGCTTAAATTCGGATTAAAAGTTTGGGTAATTACTCAATTTAAAACTAAACATTTATAATTTATACAAATAAGAATTAAACGTTATCGATTTGTAATAATATGAGTTTTTTTCAATAGAAAATTTGCTATAAAAGATATGCGCCGTTAAGTTTAAAACTGCTACAAATAAAAATGACATGGAATTAAGCTTCTAATTCTTGAATGACAGATGGAAAGGCTTTTGTCTTCTTTTTTTTCTAAGCTAATTTCATTTCATTTCTTTTTTTCTTTATGAATTGAAGTCTACAAGTCTACAAAATTTGCGCTACGATTTTCTTTCTCTTCTTATTCTGTCTAAATTTTATGCTATTTATTTCTCTTTATTATTTTTTTCACACCAAAAAAAAAGTCAATGATGTCTTTTCTCCCTACTCTGCCCATGTTTTTTTCTACCCAATTCGTTTAAGAAATGTGGAATCAATACTTTAATGTTTGAAAATTTCTAGATTGATTTTAGGTCGCTAAAAATGACTGACGACTCGGATCTTATGCAATGGTGAGGGGTTGTACTTCTATCGCAATACCATTACCAATATAGTAAGTAATAATCTCCCAAGCAAAGATTTCACGAATGAGAATAATAGTAGTTGGTGTGAGGACCCTTTAGCTTACTTGGCTTCTTTGACATTTAAGGTAGAAAATAAACTGTTTTCATGTCCTAATCTTTCATAGCTTAGAAAAAGTGGTTGTTTGAGAGATTCTTGTAAGCCTTTTTTGTTATATGTTAACCTCACCATCATAAACACTAATTAAGGTATAAATCCCAGCTATTCAAGTTCTGTTTTAGAAGCTCTAGTAACCAACTTCATTAGCATCCAAACTTACTACAATAGTAAGATTGTAACAAGAATTTAAGCTTTGAAGATGGGCTAAAAATGATTTTTAAAGAGAGAAAGAAAGAACTAATTACTTTTTTAAAGAGAGAAAGAGTAAGAAGACGTCTGTCTCATATGCCATTCTTTGACTTAATCACCATGAAAAAGCCAATTTAGTTCCACTTTATTCTTTCATGCATGATAACAGCACATATCTTTCACAGTAGGATTTTTGTTGAAAAAATCTTACATTGTTAAAAATCAACAACATTTAATCTTCATTTACATAAATTAAAACGTTTAGTTCTGAATTGAGCAACCACTCAAATGTTTAATCCCAAATTAAGTATTTAGCTTTTTTATTATCATTTGTTCTTTGATATCCAAGAAAGTAAAAAATTTCATGTACATAAGGTATGAATTGATCTTCGACAAAATCATATTGTTATGAGGTAAAGTTTTTTTAAGTATTTACTTATAATGAAAAATTTTTAACTTGAAAGGAAGTGTCATCATTCTCATTGTAGTTTCAAAATCTTACCCTTAATAGTTGCATCAAACTCAAACCTTAACAATTATATTAATTCATTTAAATTACTCAAGAGTTGATTAGTAATTATTTGAAAAACAAGTTTTGACCAAGCATATTAAGTTTAACATATTAATGCTAAAGTTGATATTTACAAGCATAATACTTAGAAACAAACATATAGAATAAATGATAATAATTTAAGTTTGCATGTAAAAGAATACGATTACTTATCAAATTTTATTATAGATAACACTTGAAAAATTTTAAGGCATAACTTGAATGATCAACTATCTTGACCAATAAAGAATCTAGAATTTTCATGGAATAGGTGTAAATATAGTATAAATATTTACTTATAAAATTTTGATTATATTATATAGATATTAATTAATAACAGAAACTCATCCCATTCATACTAATGAAAATTTTAGATTTCACTAATGAAATTGAAAGATTGACACATATTATTTTATGTTAAATGTTTAAGTTAAAATTAAACATTTAGGTGGTTGCTCAATTTAAAACTAAATATTTTAATTTGTACAAATAAGGATTAAACATTATCGACTTGTAATAATGTAAATTTTTTTTTTCAATAGAAACTAAGATATGCATGTAACACACTGTTAAATTAGTCACGTGTAACAGCCGTTACAGACAAATATGATGCAGAATATGACATGAAATTAAGTTGCCCACATCTAATGGTAGGTGGAAAAGCTCATGTCTGATTTTATAAGCTTATTTTATTTGAACTCTCTTCTTCTTTATCTTTTTTATTTGTAATATCAGATAGCTTGAGCTTAGGATTTATGAGCTACCAGTCTTTTTCTCAATTTCACCATAAAAAGAGAAAAAAGTTTTGCTCAAATAGCATCCAAACACAATATCTTCTTTAAATATCAGTTCATTTAGTAGCGTAAATTTAATATTAGTATAAATTTTAGATTTTTCTCATGCTCTAATTTTCTCTAAATTTATTTTTCAAAATATTAAAATTGTAAAGTTTTTAAAGAAAGATCTTATGATATAAACTTGTATAAGTTAATTTCAACCAATTACCCTATAAAATGGACTATGAAAGAAAACTTATTTTCTGTTACTGTAATATAAAAGTAGCTAGGTGAACTTTATGGATGAATAGCAATCTTAGTAAAAGGTTTATGGATACCTACATTATCTAGTAAATTTATGAACAAAATAAACTTGTAATAAAATTTATATTTTTTCACTAAATTCTTTTTTTTTTTTTTTTTGTGATTGTAGGGCACTATTTGTGGATTTTATTTATGGCATGATTCTAAAATTTTTAAAAAAGCAAAAGAGATTATTCTGGAGCTGAAAAAGAGAGAAAAATATTTATATAGTCATGTTTAAAGTTTGAAATATGAAGTTTTAAAGTTGAAGAAAAATGTTAGTGCAGCTAATGGTATTGTAGAGCATATGCAACTAAAAAGAGAAGTTAATATTTTAATATTGAAATTGAAAGAAAGCGGTAAAATTACTAGTGGTGAATATGGTAGAAATGTCAATTGGAAAATAATTTAGGTTATCTCATTCTTTTTTATACTTATGTTTTGTGTAATTTTTTTTTCAATGCCAAAATAAAATCTAGAAACTTAACTTGTATGCTTGATAGTGAATTGTGAATGATATTTGAGATGTAAATGTTGATTAAAACTCTAAACACTTATTATATAAATGCCAATTGAATAAATGTTATTAGTTATGAATTATGTTTCTTTGGAATTTGATAATGAAAATGTGGTTGAATGCAATATATTCAACATGCAATATGTTATGAGTAAATTAATCTAAGGCAATATAATCATAGAAGCAATCTGTTAATGAAAATGAGTACATAACATGTTATGTTTTATAATAAAGCAAATGATAATAATTAATATTCAATCAATAGAACATCCTTTTTATACAACATTCAGTCAAGAAAACATTCAACTACTAGAAGGTTGAATAGAAATTGTTCTTACAATATTAACAAAAAAAAAATTAACCAAAGCTTTTATTTCAACAGAAGCTACAACTGGTCAAATTTTTAGTTTCCCCTTATTTCTTTTAGAAACAAAAATTTGACTTTCTTAAGTAATAGTTATATTTTTAACAACCTTCATCTTACCTTTACTTGTCACAACTGTTATCACTTTTTTACTTTTCAATTTAGGCTGTTGAATTACATTTATCAAGTTAAACTGGTAATATTTTATGAAACAAAATCATAAATATATATGTTTGATCCAAAATAACTTACATTTAAAATTTGTCTTCTTGTTTTTAAGTTTATATATAATCCATAACCTTGCATGCCTTTTGTCTTACTTTTGGTTGCAGCTCTTACAATGTTCTTGTCATTGTGACTTTTAATACTGTTTGTTGAAATTGCTCTCTTCCTAGTGTTTGTTGTAAAAAACTTGAACTTTAACAAGGGATTTATTTTTTCACTAGTCATCCCATAAAGTCTCCTATCCTTATTTATTAAACATTTTTCACTAGATTTTGTTAGCTTTTCAGACTTTAATTTTGCATTTAAATGGCAACAATAGCAACAATATTAACTGGATTTGAAATTGGAATTGAAACTAGATTTGAAACTGGATTTGAAACTAGATTTAAGGTTTATGAAGATTTAGTTACATTATAATTGAATATGCAAAACCAAAAATATTAGCTAAAGCAAATGCAAATAAGCAACCAAATTTGGACGCAAAAGTAGAAGTTAATACATAAGCACCATAAGTAGCAGCAGAAGTAATACCATGGTTGTTTGAACCTTG